CTGGGCAATGGCACAGAGACCTCTCGTTGCCACCTTTTCAGCATAAAGCTCTACACTGCCCTCAGGGAAGCCAAACCTCTTCTGCACGACAGCAGTCAACTTGCGGATCCTCCGGCCCTTCTTACCAAGAACATTCTGTGTCCTGGTGGCTAAAATGATGATTTCTGTCCTGGTGGGTGTAACTCTGACTTCAACACCAGAGTAGCCATCTTCGGCCAGCTCCCTAGTGAGGAACTCATTCAGTTCAGCTTTGAAGATACCGTCAGTGACAAACTTCCTCTTCTTAGAGATCTGTACCGCCATCTTTCCACTGCGCGCCTCCCTTGAGATCCTATCTTAAAAACAAACCAAAAAAATCCAAGCATGGAGGTGAAACATTGGTAGTCTCAGCACTTGGGAGGCTGAGGTAGGAGGATCACTGAGTTCAGTGCCAACCTGAATTACTAAGCTCCTATTTCAAAACAAAACAGAACAAACAACAAAAACAAAGGGCCAGTCAGATAACTCGGAGGATGCATAGAGAAGGGTGATGAGGAGCAAATGTGAAGATGATCAGGAAAAATAGGGCTGGGGAGATAGTTCGGCAGCATAAGCAGCTACCTGGCAAATGTAAGGTCCTGAGTTCAATCCCTGGCACAGGGACTGGGGTTTGATCCTCGGCATGTGTGTGTGCCATGCCATGCCGTGCCAGCCCTGGACCCGAACACACTGAGATGGTGGCTAAGACTGGACAGTGGCATGCACCTGTAATCGCAGCGCTTGGGAGGCCATCTGTCCTAGTTACAAAATGTCCAAATTAAGAGGAATGGCATATTTCACCTCACAAATTGTCACGGTTTCAGTCCATAGTCTGCTGGCTCCAAGGCAGGGCAGCATGGCAAAGGGACTCTGTAGAGGAGAAACTGTCCATGGTGGGGCAGGCAGAAGATAAGTAGCAGGACAAGCTTGCCTTGTCCCCCGTGTCCTACCTGGGGTACAAGCCTGTTGGTTGGTGGCACCTGCACCCAGAACTATGCCGAACCACACCCTTAAGCCAGCACCAGACACCCATGATCCAGTGGCTGCTGGATCCAAGGATCCAAGCCCCTCCTGTGAGTGCTGAGAGTTTGGAGGGCACCTAGGTAGGCATACATCATTCCCCCATCTGTATGCATTACATTTCACTGGGAAACCCACAACACCTTGAAAGTCAAATATACCTATCTCATTTGTTTCCAGTCTTTGTTGTCTTAGAATGAGCTCTTAGGGCTAGGGAGAATGTTTTTAGTGAGAAACAATGAAATCATTTCATATATGTCTGATGGCTTTCTACTGACATTTGAAATGTAATTACAAATGAAATATTAGTTGATATAGTAGAGTGTTAGGTTGGAAAGGTCAGGAGATCTCTATGTGTAATTATTCATTCTGGTTTATCTACAGTGTGTAAGTATAAGATTGAAAGTTAGAAAAGGGTCCAAGTGTAGTGATGGGCCCTCTAGTCCTAGCTATGGGAAGCGGAAGCAGGAGCATCACCACAAGTTTGAGGCGAAGGTGGGCTATGTAGTGATTTCAATGCCAGTGAGTTGGGATAAGCCTGACTGCATTGTCAACCTATGTAGTTTGAGACTCTAAAAAAAACAATAAGCAGCAAATAAAAGAAGAAGAAAGACTGAGACTGTTGGGTCCGACACACGCTCCCACGGCCAGAGCCCTGCTTCTTCTCCAGTACCCCTTACAGAGTAGAGCAACCAGCGGGCAAGAGATAGGGTGCATTTAAGGGAACACTTTTTCAAATCTTTATTTTCCTTAGTAGGGTACATTTGTAGTATGCAGTGATTATACTCATTGAGCAAAACTGATCCATTACATAATACGTCTTCATTCAAATTACCCAGGATGGGCATGGCGATGTGCAACTCTTATTCCGAGGCTCTGGGAAACCTCTGGCAGGAGGGTGGAAACTGAGGAGCCCGGTCTGGGCTGTTTAGCAATCTGGCCTGGCTCTCTGAAAATGTGCAAAGGCCCAGGAAGGTGCACAGTGTGCCAGACTTAGGTTTGACCCCTCTGCTGCCACCAGAAGGGAAGACTGCACAGGCAAGCGCCAATGTTTCCATCTACCCCTCTCCTCCCTACAGGTCTGTACTCTGACCCGGGAAGACAACCGCTCCCTGGGTGTGGTGCCCGAGGATGAGCAGCTCCACGTCCTCCCACTCTACAGACTCTCAGACACTGATGAGTTCGGCTCCAAGGAAGGCATGGATGCCAAGGTGCGGGCGGGGGCTGTGCAGGTCCTGCAGCCCACACGCAGGAAAAGGATGCGCTTCACACAGCCGGTGCCCCGCTCTGGCAAGAAGCGGGCAGCAATGATGACCGAGGTGCTGGACCGCAAGATCAGAGCGGTAGAGAAGAA